ATTGAATCGGATTACTTTTCTATATCTGTAAAAGATTATATGAATGTTACCTATATTATATAAGCCCTAGAGGCAGATTTTTTGTGCGGTTCATTTACAGTCGCTGTGAAATTCAGGTCGTGCAATATATGTACATGTTTCAATTCTGCATTTTGGTGCAAGGCTACACGCTTAATCCTTACACGGGTGACCGTTATGTATATAGAGTGGACATTTCCATCTACCACAGCAGTTTTTTCCAAACTTTAAATAGCGACGACCTCCTAACTCAGCAAAGTTTCCGTTGTGCCCCTTCTCCTTCACATTAAAATTTTCTCAAGTGATAACAGTAAAATAAACATTTTCTTTACGTATTTTTAATAATTTTTAACAAAAATGAAAAACTGTTTGTAAAGAGGGAGTAAATGCCAAAGCAAAAAAAAAAAATATATTTAAGTCTAAAGTGATACTTTTGTTAGGTTATTGTCGTTTCCAGCTCTTCTGTTTCTTTTGGGCTCTCCCGCCAAAAGCCCCCACTCCCACCCACAGTTTGAAAACACTGTACTACAGAATTAAATTTAAAGTCCGACATGTTAAATCCACCGCCTCGTGTACTTTACTCGTTAGTGCGTGTATGCTACCCTCTCCTACAGCGGAATCGATACACTCACAGACGCACACACATAACTATATAAGGTACATATTGTCTAACGTGGTGAATTAAAAAAACAAACTTTGCATCATGAATACTTAAGATAGAAACAGAATATTTACGATCTGCGTCTAGCAGAAATAAGTTTCCCATTGTTCTTTTTCCGTCGAAAGGAAGTTTAACATTATTACCCCCCACCCTTTTTTAGAAATATGTATACATGATTCATAAAACATAGCAAGTTCAAGCAGGTTAATTATTGTAATGTAAAAAATATGTAAAGCAAAGCTTGTATACACAGAATATATCTTATTTTCACGTTCAATATATTCCGTTAATAAATTTTCTTCGGACTTAAATAGCGACAAAGCTCTGCTGTATATACCCCCCCCCCCCCAAGTGGCACAGTGGTATGTCTGCGGACTTATACTGCTAGAAACCGGGTTTTAATACCCGTGGTGGGCAGAGTACGGATAGCCTATTGTGTAGCTTTGTGCTTAATAACAAACTGTGTACTTCTTACTAATATTATAATAGCTAATAAATAATACATTTTCTTTGGATGTTTAATAGCAACAAAGCTCTGCTATATGTATCGAATTTGAGAGCCTGTCGTCTGTGTACTTATTACAATTATTATTATTTTTCTTGACTTAAATCGAACTTTTTGGAGTCCTTTAAAGTGAAGTACAAAAAGAAAATTATATACATATATTTATTATGATATTGAACCTCAAGGAGTCACAAGTTTGATTTAATTAAAATTTATCGTTGTCTACAAGGTGAACCTTGTTAATGATGTGTAAACTTGTTAGGCTTATGGTTACATGTACAGTCACAACTGAATGCTATCTGTACCTAGCCACAAAATCGTGTGTTTTCTCAATATTTATTGAGCTGAAACTGGAATTGTATTAGCTGGCGAATTAAGGGTCCACATTTGCCTCCCAGTTTATGTGTAATGGACGTTGTTGGTAATCCAGCATCCAGTTTGTTTGAGATCATTTGTTTTACAGAAACTAACATGATAATCTGCCCAAATTTATGCTGAATCTAGGATTCCATCTGGTAAGAGTAAATTCATAGCTTTTGTCTTATTTCAGTACCAAAATTAAAGTTTTCTAAACTGGTGGAAAGTAATGAAATTGTATTAAGATCCTTATTTTTCCACCAGTGGATTTTTGAAACTGATATTACATAGTGAAGGGGGGGGCAGTGATGCAAGTATGCCCCCGCAATTGTGGGGTGGGGGCCGAATCAGCCAGAGTTGTAATTACAGGTATAGGGAAGTAAATGTATGGGCCCAATTTTTATTGGGGGGGGGGGCATCTTTTGTAGTTGCACCAGTGGAAGGAAGGAGGGTACTGTGAGAATGAGAAGGTGTCCTGTTGAAAATCGAACAGAGTTTCTAGAATGTACATTACACCAAAGGAGGAAAGCTGAACAATAAGGCATTTGTAGATCACTTGAACAGTTTTCAAGGGGAATTAATAACTATACAGTGATATCAATGGACTCGTGAAACTTTTATATTAATATGTATATCCTGACGTTATTATTGTCAGTTAGTTCGTCAATATAAACCCTCAAGTGTTGTCTTCTACCCTCAAATGCAATTTGCAAAGTGAAGGACGTTTGGTTTGACAGTCAATGGAAATACGGTTTGGTATATCTGACACTATCATGCTGCTACATGAGGGGGGGGGGGTTTCTTATGAAAATTAGGACAAGGCATACTGAAGCAGCTTTTTACCAATTCTAGATATAAAAAAAAATGAAGGAAAGGTTATTGAACTTTTATGATACTTTGCTTTGTGGGTAGTAATATTTCAGGGAAATTAATTTGAGAAATCTTAAACATAATGTAACTATTTTGGATTAAGTAGAATGATTAAAGAACTAGAAACTTCTGCAACAGATGTGCTCACTACACAACAAAAGCTGTATTATTCAAATGATTAGCTATTCAACAGACATACCCAATAGACACGTACATTCTGTATTAATATCCTATCATCAAATATGCAACTCTAGCATGCTCATTATACAGTGAGTTCCATTGTTTATCTGAATTAAAAAAAAAGTAAATATGGAAGTAGGTATAACGAATTTTTTAAACAAATTTGGTGTAAGGATGTTAAAGAATGTGAGACACTGAAATATATTTACTGTTTTGTACAAGAACATTATCTACGTTTCTATGCATAAATTATGGTATATTTCCAATTGAACACAACCATAAATATACACTCGGTAAAATTATGAGTAATGGTATATAATAAAGGACCATTTCAGATTAACCCATGTTTTAATCAAGGGATAAAATAAATGCTTATGTAGCCAATTCCAGTATTATTTGGTGTATAGGGGTGATATATTTGTTCTGTTGTATTCCCATATAGCTAAACTGATTCACAACCTTTGACTTGGAAACCTTTGAAATTGCCTATCTTTATCATTACATTAAACTGTATTTGCTCCCGACTATCATTCGTCTGCTAAGAGTACAAAAAAATCACATTTCAAATTTCAGTTAAATGTCACATTTGCATGTGTGTTAAATTATTTGTTCAATTGCTCAAATTGTATGGCATACTTACCACCAATAGAAAGAAAGAATGCATGTATGAAGTAAAATATGAAAAAGTCAAAATGTTTAGTTGATGTTACTTTACAATTTTAATATATATAGTTTTGTTAGTTAGATTTAAGTCATGTTTACCTGTATGTTTGACATCCCAGAAGCGAGTATGAGTAGAGGTAAAGTAACATTAGCCATAGTGTTATATGCATGTATCAAAATTATACACACAAGTGATAATGTCTTATGAAACTAAGATGTATATTAATTTGTTTATGATGGCAATAGCTTAAAACTATATAAAAAGAAAGCATTAATCAAGTGTTATTGAAAGATATTTGACTAAAACATTGCAATATACATGCCATTTTTATATTATTTTAAAAATAATGCTTGTTATATTGAAATAAATTTTGATACCTGGAATGGTCACTAATTTGTTATTAATAACAATCAAAGTTTATGAAATTGGAATGTAAAAAAATAATCATCTTTTTTTTGTACATGCAAAAATGTAAGAGCTTATGGACCTTTGAAAATGCATCTTCACTGATGTAACTAAAATATGAACAGTAGAATATCACTGACCCTGTTAAGCTTCCAGATTATAGGTTACAAGTAACCAATCATTTACTGTAAAGTTCATATTAAGAATAAATTGGCAACAAATATACATTGAGATAAAAACAATCTTAGGCTTCTTGGTATGCTATGAAAAACCACCTGAAATTGACAATTTTTTGAACCTACAGTTTGTTCTGTAATTCATTCAATGATTATGTAATGTAATTTATAGAGAAGAAATGACCGTATTTTGTTTTCAGTTTTCTATTGTATTTTGATTGTTTATTAGCACAAGTATTTTGACTGAAAATACATTCTATGTCTGATTATAAACAAAAAAAAAAAATCTGTTAAGAAATTACAAAGTTATTAGATCAAACTTGTTATTTATTAAATGGAAATGCGATTCAGTTTTGTTTTAGAAACATTTTTGGCAAGCAGAATTTATTAAAAATTTATAGAGTGAAGTTGTACGGACAACTTATCTGGCAATTAAGTTGGATGATATTTTGGTTCACTTTCACGTTCCTTTCCAGATCAGTGTGGTAATGTCACAAAAGTGATTGAATTTTTTTAAAAGTGTACTGCATTATATAGTGTGATATGTATTATTCTTCAACTTTTAATAGCTTGTTCTTTTCTAAATTAATCATATTGGGTAAATAGAAATACAAAATTGATTTAAATATATCACATGAAGATGAGTAATGATAAGTACAGTGTTTAATAGTTACATTTATGTACTTAGGTACTGGTTATAATTTCTTTCGTTTCTTGAAACTATTTTCATGTGACTCCACCAAAGTGTGTGTCATTAACCAGTTCCATACATGGATGGATAACTAGGTTCTTATTAGTTTCTACTAACTGTTACCCACCCACTTTATCTGATATTTACAGAATGCTTAAATGCATGAATAAATTGTAGAAATACTTATTTTGATTAGAATTTGTACCCAGAATAATTAAATTCCAATATAATACCTTATCAACATATATATATATATACATTTTTTTTTAACAGTATTATTTGAGTATGAAGTTAGATCAGTAACAACCTTGGAATTAAAACTAAAGATATTAAAGATGTACATTATTAGAATTTTCTTTTTCTAATGTAGCTGAATACATTTAAAGTAGTTTAAGAGTTGCAGCTGGTACTAAATGTACATTTTTGTCTTGTTTTAAGTTGCATATAACAGTTTGCTACTACTTAATTTACAGGGCAGCACACCAAAAAAGCCTACAATCCAGTTTGATGACAGCAGAGGGGTGAGTATTTTGGCTTAGAAAAAAAGTTTATATAATTTATCTTTACTATTTCAGGATGAATGAATACTGTTTACATTAGTTTTATAGGAAATTAGAGATTCAAGAAATTAAGGAAAGCTAAAATAATACCTTTATTTTGAATCTGTACTTGTAAGTTTTCAAACAAACGTATTAGTTATACTTGGAGTAATCTTTGTTTTAGCAACTTTTTAAAAGGTATATTTGTTAACAAAATGGAATAGTAGACTAGTATAATATGTGTGCCACAGGCATATGTGCAAAGTCTGCCATTAGACTATGGCTTTGTCAGACAGTGGTGAATGAATGAAATAGTGACTATTGTCACTGTTGTTCAGCTGATAACAACTGAATGAAATAGTCTAATGGAAGTCTTTTTCACATTTGCTGATGGAAGCAGTAGGTTAAACAAAGGTGAGTGTATTCCAAAAAATACTTGTCGCTGTTGTTCAGCTGATAACAGCTAAATGAAATAGTCTAATGGATATCTTTTTCACATTTGCTGATGGAAGCAGTAGGTTAAACAAAGGTGAGTGTATTCCAAAAAATAGTTGTCGCTGTTGTTCAGCTGATAACAGCTAAATGAAATAGTCTAATGGAAGTCTTTTTCACATTTGCTGATGGAAGCAGTAGGTTAAACAAAGGTGAGTGTATTAAAAAAATAGTTGTAGTATATATTTAGTACCATAAAGCAGGCTGGTTAATATTTAGATACTTGTGCTATAATTATATTTCCAGTGTTACAGAATACATATAGTGTGATTTGTTAAACTATCTTGGGAGCACACATTCCCAAAATTGTATTTTATTAGAAAGTTACCTTCACAGAAAATGTCATTTTAAGTATTTGTAAAATGTAATTGAGCTTTGGAAGAATATTGTTAACTACATAAAACAACTTGTAAAGATTCTTTTGAAGGATTTACAGATGTTTTTTTGGTATATAGAAAATACAACATACAAATTCAGATTACAGGGTTTACTAAATCACAGACTAGACATTACAATAATATAATGGTTCATTCTCTAAAGAAGCTACTAGCTTAATCATTCTCAGTTGTCAGGCTTTAGTAAGATCAAAATATTTCAAAAGGTAAAGATTTATTTGGAGCTCATATAGAGTATTGAAATTTCTGTATGAATTGGCAAGAGTCATTTTGTATATGTAAAAAATATTTGTTTTTCAATACCGAGATGAATCTGTCATAATAACACATGATTTACAGTTAACAAGGTAAAATTTACGACCATTATAACACTTTCTCTCTGCAAGTAGAAAGCCTTGACCATGTTGAACCTGTGTTATATCATGGTAATAAGTTTTGTGAAAGGTCAAGTATTCCACCTGCTAGAACATCCCAGCCAGCCTGATGAGTCCTGGTATTGAGGGAAAGGCCTCATCAGCACTGGATATAGTAGATATAGTGTGGTTAACATGTTGCAACATATTATTCTGTTTCTTTGCTTCTAAGTTCTTAGAATAACATTGGGAAACTGTGATTACCTTTTTGCTGCATACAGAAACAGGTATGTTAATGACGTATCGCTTGATAAAGCCCTTTCTTTTTCTTCTGTTAATAAACAGTGAATGCGTTTTTAGTCTTGCTGGTTATGTGTTCTTCTGTACAACTCATTCTTTCTATTTATAATGTTGAATATATTTAACGTTAACAACATAGGCAAGTTTTTAGGTGATGGAAAATCAAGATGGACATATCTAGTCTCATTGTTGAGCCGTTGACCCAAAGAAAGCCAGGCAGTTCATAACGCATACTAAAAGAAGAATTTGCATTGGTTGTAATGGTAATAGCTAATAAGCAACATGCATGATTCTTTGGATTTGCCTTGGAAAGACGCTTGTATTTGAACACTTGTGTTGCCTTGAAAGAGTACATATCTCTTGACATTAACCTTGAAAATAATAGGCAAACTTTTATGCAAATCTTGGCCTTCCTTGGGTGGAGCCCCCTTTTAAATAAATGTGTTAAAAAGGAAGTTCACAAATGTTGTATAATAAAAGACAATTTCTGTAACAAATTGCTACTCCCTCCCGATGGCACAGCGGTAAGTCAGAGAGCCTATAACGCTAATAATCGGGTTTCAATACTCGATACCCGAGGTGGGCAGAGCACAGATAGCCCATTGTGAAGCTTTGCGTTTGTCAACAAACAAATTTCTTTTCAAGTAAGCAGCGTTTATAATATCTTGTATGTCAATCGATTTTTCATCTCAAAACAGTATGGTACAAATATAATTTTGTGAAATTGTAACTTAATAGAATTAAAAAAAAAAACCACCAAAACTGCTCACAGTCGCTACTGTAAACAAAAAAGTTTTCAAAAATGTACTAAAACTGTCGCCATTCCACAAGAATTAGACCGTGACCTCTTTTTTTACCACCGGTGGCTCAGCTTAAGTTTATAATTAACACCAAAGTTCG